TATCTTTGCTGGTTATTCCCCTGGAAGCAAGGCCTCTGGAGGGATGTATTCAGAGACTGGTGACTACTCATAAGGCATGTTTCAGTCTTTGATGAGTGCTCAGGATTGAGAAGTGGTGCCACACTGATGACTGAGAAGAACCAAATGACCCAGGGCAATTCTTCAAATTTCTGGAGTTTCCACAGATCCATCCAGATAAGAATCTAGGTCAGTCAGGTGATGCACCAAATGCAGTAGACACCAAGTACATCCCAGCAGGAATAAGGGCTGTGGGAGATGTACCAACGGCAACCACAAATTCAGAACAAAGGCTCAGACGTGCCACAAGACCCAACAAAGGAATTCCTGTACCAGGCTTTTACTACACTGCCAGGTTGGTGTTACCAACAGAAGCAATGCCTAATACTGAGGGCAACACATGAAGGCGAGCAGCACAGGAGGAAATAGAAGCTCCAAAGAAAAACAGAACCCAAGCTTCAGCTGAATTGCTACCTGCACAAAAGGTAATCAAGCACAAAATAAAATGTAGGCAGCAACATAGAATGCAGCAAGGAGGGTTGCAAAAGGATTCCAGCACATATATAGAAAAGACTACGAAAAAGTCACTGCCCAGAAATCGTTTTTTCAGCCTTCAGAACAGACGGAGACTTGAAGAAATCAATGCATGCAACATTAAGAAAGGACATTAGGTATATGTAACATTGCCTAAATTAACACTGCATGGTTCTGCCTATTAACCAGAGTGGGGAGAAAAGGGTTAATTTCATAGACAAAATGCAACTGACCTCTCTACTTCATCTGTGTTTTTTAACTGCCCCCTTTCTCCTCCCATCTCACCTGGAAAGGCAAAAGAGCCATATGACCCCCCCCCCCCAATCTCTCTTGTTCTCTCTTTCCATGAGAGCAGAAGCATGTTCTTCTCTCCTTCTTAACTAACAATTGACTCTCTTTCCGAACCAAGATATTGTGTGTGGGCATGCCAGCCTCTTTTCTGCATGCAAATCACATATGGATTGTTTGTGAGTAAATAAAGCTTTTTACCTTTTGTTATAAACTCACTATGGATCTAGATGCAGGCAACAACCTCTAAACCAAATCCACTGTTTAATGCTTACCTCTGCTGAACCTATGTATAACTAAATATACAACAGGCTCCCAACAAGACCAATCTGTCTGTATATATAGTTTTACGTTTTGCTGCCTTGTTAGTATCAATGCACCTATCAGTGTGGTCTCACAAGGCAAATTATGCATAGTTGTAAAAAATGATCCTTAATGAGTAGAGTTGTTTTCCTTAATGACCCAGAAATCTCAAGTGCATTCAGAATGTAACAAGGATTACAAAAACAAAACAATCACCAGGAATAGTAAAATCAATAACAGTTGTTGCTTCCTTATGCTCTGCTTGCTTATTTGAAAACAACACACATGTTACCAAGAGACATTGCGGTGTAATTAAGCTAAAGTAAGTCTTATTGGCTTAGATCCTAACTCTGCATGAGAGGATTATCTGCCCACAAGATAACCTTTTTGGTGGAAGAGAGAAGGTGATTTTTGCTGATTCCCATTTCCCCCATGGCTTCTGAAATTTATCCCCCTTCTATGAAGCAGGATACTTTGCTGGATTGGAGTCCCTTCTCTTCACAGGATCCAAGCCAATGAGTTCAGTGTGATTTACTCCCAGGTAGCTGTGCATTGGACTGCGGCCTAACACAATCCTAGGCATATTTCCTTTGGTAAGTACCACTTGTTAAAAGGAGCTACGGGATTAAAGCTGCAATCTTATGCACATTTACTCCCACATATGAAATAGAAAGCACTTGATACTCTAAAAGACAGTTCCCAAGAATCCACCACTAGCATGACTAAGAAACACCACCTAGGATAGAGGTGTACAGATAGGACTTTAAAAGTCAGTTGGGCTACTAGACTCAGGAAGCAGGTTTAGCCACAGTAGTGATCCCAAGTACATCCATTTGGTTTCCGTCAAATAAGTGAATGGTTTCCTTTTGTATCTCCTGGGGGAAAATAAAGTGCTGTTTGGTGGAATGTGCATGCGCTATTCACAAAACCTGCTGGTATGGCTCTTATTAAAGAGAATAGTTTCTTTGTGTACCTAGTTCAGAGCCGCTTCATCTTGAGGGATCTTTGCAATATATAGGCTTTGCATTATGCCGGGGTGGCCAAATAGAGTTTTGGGAGCCACATGTGGCTCTTTGAGTTTATTATGTGGCTCTTATGTTGAGCAAGTCTGGCCAGCCCTGCCATATGCACTAATTTATCTCAGAGTGGTTCCATTTGAAGCTTTCTGTTGTGTAATTGCTTTAACACATTCACAAAATGTTACAAGCATCCAGACATCATCGTCCTTCATTTGTAATTAATCTATATATGCCCACTGCATCTTCTGTCTTTTTTGTTACTGTAAATCCATTAAGGAGGGAAAGACAGAATAGCTGCACAATGTCTTTTTATTGGTTTTGCTAGAATCCACCCATCTGGAAGTACCAATATTTATAACTATTTTGCATAATAAAGAACTACTTTAAAAAGCAAATACAATAATATCTGGTATGTTAAGTAGGGAACATTATCTGTAATTAACTTTAAAAAAGTGTTAAAATCAGTTTTCATTACACTGTTAAGACTTATCCAAACAGACTAAGTTACTGTGGGCACAGTTTGCTTCCTATCATGTTCCATTCGTATCAGTTGGGCCTAAAGTATTCTTATATCAAGGTGCTGAAAAATGATATTTTCTTATAAGAATCCACTGTTGTATGATCTTGCCACACATTTCCTAGATTTCCAGCATCTTTTCCAGTAGCAATTCTCAATTTCTTCATAGAAGTTGCATAAGTAGGATAACCTTGAAGGTTCCTAAAATATTAACAGGACCAAACTAGATGTGATCAAATTTCTCATCTCTTTAAAAGCTGTGAATTCTCATTAGGAAAAGATACAATAGGATCCTGTGCAGTCTTACTGCACCTAAGGATTAAGGCTAATTGAACACAGTAGAACTTACATATATAAGTTTGCCCTGTAAATGGGGCAAATACATCTTGGGGTGCAACTTACATAGGAAAATCTTGAGTAAACAGATAATAGCCCTCCCAAATGCTGCAATTTTGAAAGATAAGGTTTCTTTCTCTGTCAATAGTAGAACCTAGATTCATCTAATTAATTTTCATGGTGGGAGTTTCAGTGATGATAAAGGGAATTGTTTTATGCAGCACAATGGTGATCTATTGTAATTTGCTGCCATAAGATAAAGTGGTTTTCCAGTTCTCAACCCACCTGTTGAGGACTGGAAAAATAAATTAGCAGACTATGAGGTAATGTCAAAACCGAGTAATTATGTAAATAGAAAATCAGCCAAAGAATTTAATGATAAGTGGAAACTCTGCTATGTACAACATGCTTTATAGAAAAATCTACATATGAAAGGAGTGGAATTTTTGAAAATATTGTCAGAGATTAACATTAAAACCAGTGCTTCGCCATTATAGTAAGGAGAGTTATATAAATGGAATAAAATTCTTGAAAATATTGTCAGAGATTAACTCTTGTTCTGATGCTTTGTTATATAGTAAGTTGACTTTAGATGAATAGAGCTACTTAAGTATATGATAATTGTGGCTAGAGTCAAAACTGCTTTAAAATGGAAAGCAGAAGAAATTTAATCATTGAAGACTAGAAAAATAAGTCAGTTGACTATGTAGTAATGTTAAAACTAATCATGTAAAAAGATAATCAGCCAAAGAAAATGTTAAGCGGAAATTGTATTACACACAACTTCTTTTTAATGGGGATAATAACAGCAGAAAAAATCTGCAGTGAATTTTAATTAAGTGCAAAAAATGTGACTGAATAGAAAGGATAGTAATTCTTGATTTACAGTTTAAAAATACCTTTGACATTTTATGTAACATTTGATTAAGACTCCTTGGTGTTTCTTTGTAATTTTTACTTGCATTTTTATTTTTTTTGCCCCCCCCCCCAACCTTTACTGCTACTAAAACAAAATTTTAAAAAGAAAGTTGAAGTGGTCAACAAACTTGGACAGTTTTAAAGGAGAATTAAATACAGAGAGGATAAAGCTATCAATGGCCCAAAATTATTTAAGATATTTATATCCCATGTTGTAGCCAATCAGGATCTCTAGATGAATAGAAAATTGTGATAGACATGTGCCGTATGGTTAGAGGCAGTATTCTCCTTTATAATAGATGCTGAGAAACATGGGAAGGTACTATTGAGATTGTGTCCTGTGTATGGTCTTCCCATATTCTCTGTAGTGGCACCCCGACTATGGAATGTGCTTCCCTGGGGAGGTCCGCCTGGCACTGTCATTATATGCTTTTTGGTGCCAGGTCAAGACCTTTTTATTTAACCAATATTTTAATGTTAATTGATTTTAATTGTATATTTATTTATTTATTTAACTTATTTTAAGTATTCTATTTTATGTATTCATTCATGGTATCGTTAATTTATTTTGTTTAGGATTTAGATTATATTGTAAGCTGTCCAGAGACACAAGTGATGGACGGCCTATAAATGTCCTAAATAAAATAAATAATAATAATAAAATACTGTGGAGAAAAATGCTACACTAGATAGGCCACTGGGGTCTTATCTTACTTAAGCTGGACATCTAATCACTGGCCTGCATTTTCTGGTCTAATTAGACTCAAAGATGATAACTGAAGAGGCCTGAACTGAACCAATGGTGTGTTCAACATTTTTTGAAAAGTAGACCCCCAACCCCTTGCCATATCTTATACTGCCTCTGAAAAATCCCTCAGTTTCAAAGGGCGGTTTGCTTTGTGTGTATAAGGAAGTTGCTGTTTGAGGAGAAACAAGAGAAAAACTTACGTGTTTCATGGAATTAGTTTCAGGGTTTCTGCTAGCAAAGTCATTATTTTTAAGTACACAGTTTGCACGAGGCAAGATAGTACTTATTGTGGCTACCCACTAATATTTATTCATTCTAGGGATACCAGATACTCCATTTAGCAAAGATAGAGATGGTCATGTCAAGCGTCCTATGAATGCATTTATGGTATGGGCAAGAATTCACCGACCAGCATTAGCCAAAGCTAACCCTGCTGCGAATAATGCAGAAATAAGCGTTCAGCTTGGATTGGAGTGGAACAAGCTAACAGAAGAGCAAAAGAAGCCTTATTATGATGAAGCTCAGAAGATTAAAGAAAAGCACAGAGAAGAATTTCCTGGTACAAAATAGATTTTTTAAACACATTTGTCAACAGTGGATTATCTTACCATTCTATCTATTTTATTTGCTTTATTAATTGTTTTTTCAATTGTATTGTATGCTGTTTTAAGCATTTGTGAACTGCCCAGAGAACCTTCGGGTTATGGGGTGGCACAGAAGTGGAATTAAATATATAAATAAAAACTTGGGGCAACTTTTTATGTTATTTATAGACTTACATCCAGTGCTGCAAAAGTTGACTTCTGCTTGCATAATGGAATTTTCTCTTGCTCCTCTCTCCTCTGCAGCCCCATACATGCCTTCCACAGCTGCTCCAGAGGGTCTTCCAAAGTTCTGGTGCAGGAGTGGGTGTAGTTTATTTATAGGACTGTAAGGGAGAAAGGGAAACCATTCCATCAGAGGGTTCTGATCAGCTAATAATCAGCATTTTGTACATCTTCGACAAGATGATGTTAGTGTATCTACCTGGCAAAGAGAATGCTAGAAGGAAAATACAATGAAAAAAGTATGCACAACACTGCAGGTTTTCTTAAAGCAGCTGTTTTTGTCACTCCCACTGTCCCTGACAGTGCTCATCCTCTGAATGTTTAAAAACAAGTTTGGCAGCATGATGATATGAGTTACTGCAAAGAATTGTACTAAATAACTACATTGGATTCATGAATTCTGCACATTTATTTTTTTACAGCATAGCCTATAGTAAAGCAAGCTTAAAATTCTTTAAAACCATCTACCATAAATCACTAATTCCAAAAGCTGACTTATTTTAGTACATTATACTAAGGTACAGGACCTTTCAAACCACATCCTGCTCTTCATCAAGGAAAATTCAGCAACATGCTGGGATTTGATGCTGGTAGCTAGGCCAGATCATGGCATCTATACTCTAGCCAACCTCTTCAAAGATGATCCAGCATTGTTAAATAAAACTGTAGTGAGGCGTAACATTGGGCAGGACTAGGGATGGGTCATTTACATGTGGCATTATTCCAAAGGCATTCTAGTCATGATACAGGTATATATAGCCATATATAGGCTTACTTTCTATGAGCCGTCCCGAGGCTACGTAGCAAGGGGACAGCATATAAAAACTTTAAATAAATAAATAAATACGCACTGGTGCAGCCATAATCATTTAGTAATAGTAGTAATAGACTTTCCCACTATGGTAAGTGGGGCATATTCAGAATTGCATAAATAAATGGGTGGGTGGCATTACCCCTATCTTTTTAATACATAACCATTCTCACTGATGTTATTTAAAGTTGATAAATAGTTGAGAGTAAATAAGGGAAACTGAAGTATGCTTAATAGAAAACACATTCCAACATGAACATTTTTTTTTATGCTACAACTCCAAATAGCTGTTCATCTTTGCAGGCTTTTCCAAAAGTAAACTATATATGTTTCACATCCCTATCCTCACCCCTTTGTTTTCTTGGTTTCATGTTACTCATTGTCAACCATGCAAATCATATACCTAGAACATATTTACTAATAATGCCAAGACTCTTAATTTTACTTACTTAACGCTGTAAAAAAACATGCAAAGCAAAAATTACACAATTGTTGAGGGAAGCAAGAATTGGCCTGGGCTATCAATTGGACTAACATTAATGGAAAGAAGAAGGGGTGTTGCAAGTAGAAAATTCCCTCTCTCGTAGTCTCTCTCTCTGGAAGCCTGCAAGCCTTCCTAAGCTCACACTATTATTACAGGCTTGCTTTGTCAATATAGTCTTCATATTCAAATCTGTAGAAGAGGTTTTGCCATTATCTTGTTTGTATTATGATTTTAAAGGTAAACTGTGTCCCTGGATTTGCATGTTTTTAATATATAGCAATATGTGAAAGAAAATAGTCCATAATGTTTCAGCGAGCATACTTTTATATTCCCACAGGTTGGGTTTACCAACCACGGCCTGGCAAAAGGAAGCGGTTTCCATTGACAGTATCTACTGTTTTCTCTGGCACTACTCAGAATATCATTGCAACTAGCCCAATGACAGCCTCCACTGTCTTTACTGGGACATCTCAGAATATTATTACTACAAATCCAACTACCATTTACCCTTTCCGATCACCTACCTATTCTGTGGTCATACCCAACGTACAGAACAGCATTGGACACCCAGTCTGTGAGTTCATTCCAATAGTTTATGTGAGTTCTTTAAACGTTAAATGATAGGAACTACACAGAACATATATCTGTTTCTTATTGAGAGTGTGATTAGTAAATAATGCTTAAAGCAGCAACCAGATACTACCATTAAAAACTAAAGTTTATTAACAAGCCCTTCAAGTAGATAAATTTGATAAGATGTGGCTATACTTGACTTATTTATTTTACTTTGTTTCAAATTATAATTCTTTAGGATTGTGTGGAGAATGATATATAATGTTTAATCATCCTCAGATCAAAGTTTGATCATTGTTATTACTGGTAAAAAGCCTGTCAGGTAAGATGAGATGAAAGAAGATTCCCAGTCCTTTCTCTTCCCATCACCAATTTGTCCATAATCATCTTCCGGTAGAGCAACTAGGAGTTAGTCTAATTGTCTAAATCTAGGCCTTTGCTGTTTCCCCAAACAAAAATATATAAAGATGCTGAAGATTGGTGAAGTCCCTCTTCAGCTCTTTTAAATCTCTACATCTCTTCCTCTGTCCTCCTGAAACCAAATTTTAATTTTTAAAGACTGCCTCAGAAGTTATTGGTTCAGCAAGCAGTTGAATTCATACCCAGCCTAATGACCCCAGATGCAAGAGTATTGAACCCATTTCAGCTGGACAACTGAGATCCTTTTTAGAGATGCCGTCAATACCAGAGCAGCATGTTTTAGCTTAAAGCTCTTAAGCTTTAGGAAGAGCATTTCTGTCTTCTAGAATGGGGAGAAAACTGCACAAAAGCTGGGAAAGTGGGAGATAACTGGGAACGCTGGAATGCCTGTTTTTAAAGGAGAGCTTAGATTCAGCAGGCATTATGGAAAGCTGGTAAAATATAAAGAGCCAGATATATGCTCTTCTATAAGAAGGACAGGAAGAGTATTTTGGAGAAGGTGTTTCCCTGTATGTCAAAGAGGAGGTAGTGTCAAGCAGAAACCTAAAAGGGACAGACTATTCCACAGGAGTACTGTGGGTGACAGTAGGAGGGTCCAGAACTAGCATTCCCTAGACCGGAACACTCACACTGATTTTGAGAAGGAAAACAAAAATGGGGGGCCTCCAAACAAGGTTGTATTGTTACAATGGATGATTGCAGTGACTCATGCATTGACTGGATTGATCCATGCTCCAGTTATGAAGAGATTAAATTTCTCAGTGCCCTGAATGACTGCTTCAGAACTCCTGGTCATGGAACAGACAAGAGGGGAGGTGACCCTAAGTGATGTTGAACCAGTTGGAAGCAGTGATCACAGTGCTGTCAGATTTAATATAACTTCAGATGGAAATTTGTCAAGTTGTTATCGTTGTTATCATTGTCATAGTTGTCGTCATCGTCATTATCGTCATCCTTTTATACTGTCCAATAGCTGAAGCTAACTTAATTTTACTTCAAAAGAGGAAACATCTTTGACATTAGCGAATCAGTAAATAGGAAGCTCAAAGGGGTAGTCAAAAAGGTTAAATCCCCTCAGAATGCTTTGAGGTTATTCAAACCTCAATAATAGAAGTTCAACTAGAATGCCTGCCTCAGATCAGTGAGGTACTATCAAGGCCATGGCTAATGAGGAAAATCAAGGAAGCTATTAGGGAAGGGATGGCTTCCTTCAGAAAACAGAAGTCTTTTCCACATGGGGAAAACAAAAGGCAGCATGAGTTTGCATAAAGGACGTGCAGAGATTAAAAAGGTATTTTGAGAACCATATTGCTAACAATGTCAAGGCTAGCAATAAATAATCCTTTAAAAATATCAGAAGCAGAAAACCAGCTAGGGAGGCAGTTGGACCTTTGGACAACAGTAGAGTTAAGGAAGTACAGACAGTCCCTGAATTTCCTCATGTCCCTGAGATCACTATCTATACCAGAGGACTGGGGACTGGCCAATGCAATAGCAGTTTTGGAAAAGGGATCTGAGAAATTTCATATTAGTTAACATCTGTTCTGGGTAAATTGGTTGAAAGGATTGTTAAAGATAGAATTTGTAAGCATATAGAACAATAAAGAATCAACATGGCTTCTGCAAAAGTAATTTCTGCCTCACTGATTAATACTCCTTTGAGAGTATTAATAGACATGTGGACAGGGATCATACAGTAAGCATTTATTGTATTTGCATAACAGCAACCAATCATGGATGCCAATCAACTGGATTTTTGCATTATGTGAATCCAGACTGCTTTCCATAGGTAGGTTTGATTGAAGGCAACAAGCCATCCAACAGCCAGTGACTTGCTGTAGGAGTTATTGGACCCATGATAGGTTGCTCTGTTGTCCGAACTCAGGCAACCCAACCCCATTATACATTGCAGGAAAAATCTAGTGATCTGCTTGGAAAAAGCAACAAAAATCCTTGTTCTTACCAAGCTAGCTCCAGGTGAACTATCACTACTCTTGCTGCCCTACCCACTTTAATCAGCCTTTTTGCACATTTTTTTCCCTCCCCCTCCCCGTCCCCCTCCCCTCTTTGTTCACATATCACTTTTTGGACATTGCTAATTTGACAGCTAGTGACTGCCTCTTCAGGTGCCCAAGTGGCACATTGAAGTGGTTGTCACTGGTTTGTCACCTCTTTGTTATTTGCCCGGTCTGTCCCGCTTGGGTCTAAGACACCAAGTCTTGCATGAGCAGTGTCCTAGGGATTGTCTACTGTGAAATAGCATCAGGCACCTGCCATAAGCATTAACCCAGAGAAGCTGTAGCATATTAGGTTTTATTTCAGTTTCCCTTGACAACTGTCAAAAAGAAGTGGCTAATTGGATCACCTACTTTGCAGCAAGATCCTCTGGTGGCAGGAGGGTTCTTCCTGACCTGACTCTTGTCAGAGGTCTTCCATTTTTCCACCATTTCCCAAGATATTAGGTACTTAGGAAAGTGGAAAAGTGCAAGCCATCCATGTTAAGAGAGCACAGAGTTTTGGGAGATAGCTATTGTCAGGATCTGAGCAGCACTAGTACTCCTCCCACTGGTCAAGCACTGGAGCAACCACCCTGGTAGTTTCAGGATTAGTTCCAGACTTTGCTGTAGCTCTCAGGGCTTTGATGAGCACCACCTGGTAGCTCTGGGGGAAAAACTAAGAGCAAGCTCTTCCCTTCAGAAGCTGGCTGAACAGCACAGGTCTCTTGAGTGTTGTAGCCTATTTCTGCAGCATTCTGGACCTTGCCTGATTCCATTCCATTCCTGCCTTACCTTGTTGCTCCTAAATCTTACCTGGTTATCCACAGTGTATTCCTGTTTCCTGACTTTGGCCTGTTCCATGACTACAGCTTGGACTTACTATTGCACTTTGGATGGTGCTGGACTGTCTTGCCTTGGGGTCCTTTTGCCTGGGTCATGGTGGACTTGCCCTGTTTCCGGTCTAACAGTTTGCTGAAAACAACTGAATGCAAACATGAGCAGTGTGATGCAAGTCCCGAAAGTGCAGGTGGTGGCATTTCAGATTAAGGTGGTCACTTTGTGCAGCACAGCTGCCATGTCCCAGTCCCATTGTGCTCCATAGGCTCCCTGCTTGCCACTTCCCCAGGTAGGCCTTGTACGTCTGTATCCAAATGTATACATTTAAATGAATAAATGTATCCTCAAATATATCCAACTTGAGGTTGTCTTGATGGTGAGCCTCTTGTCTGGCCTGGACATTGCTTCTTTTGGAAACCAACAGTCCCACACGGGGCAACCTGAATACTTCGGTGCAGGCCCTCCTGGTGATGCAAACTGGGAACAAACCGCAGGACTGGCCCTCCACTCACTGTGGCAAGGGTGGCATGGAGTTCCATTGTTCAGCTGCCAACACCCAGTGGAGCAGAGCAGCGCAATGCTTCCATTCCCTCGTGGGTCTGAATGCTGCTGTCAAAGATAAGCTGGCTTGGGTGACCCCTCCAACAACACTAAAAGAATTTATCACTTTATTTGTTAATATTACTTCCCTGCTACTGGAGCAGGATAGAGAATACCACTTCTCTTTGGCTGAGGATGAGCAAGGCTAAGGGAGCATAGCCACCCCGCAGCCAGAGTCCAAGCAAGTGGATGTCTCTGTTTGCCAGAGATAGAGAAGCAGCATTGCTGAAACCACAGGCTGTGCCTGTGCTGAAGCTGAAAAGGGCACTTTATTTCCACCTGCTCCACTAAGGCCTCGTACTCAGGAAACAGTTTACCCTGGTGGACTTAGGGAAGAATCTGCTGGGGCTCATTTGTGGGGTGGGGGGTGGTGTCTTGATAAGATCAAAGGAGAGCTGCCTCTGGGGATCTGGGTGAAATATGCCCAAGGGACTGATCTCACATGTGACTAGCCGCAAAGTAAGAAATGAGCTGTCAAGTCCTTTGTCAGGTATGGGGACTTTCTTAGCATGATTGGGAAACTGGAAGATCTTAGCAAAGTCCACATCCATAAAATTGGGTGAGGCCCTCAAGACTATCATGACCTGCCCTTCCAGAAGTGCACCGTAGGGTAAGAGGAACTGACATTCTCAAAGTCAGCGAATAATGACAGGGTTGCATCCACTGGCTAATGGTGCCCTCTCCTATCCTTGAGGAAGCAGCCTATGGCTCACCCTAATGAGAGTCCTCTGTCATTCATTGGAAGGGCCACAGGTCGTGAGACAGCAGTTCTTGTTCCTGACGGGGCCAGGAGCTCCCAATGGACTTGCTTTCCCTCTTCCTCCTCCTTTTTCTGAAGAGTTGGGCAGAGCTTTGGTGGAGACCTCAATGGACCTTCTGCAGAGGTCCAGTTGGCCAAAACTGCCCTGCAGTCCAGACAATTCCCATCATTGTGCTAGAGTGAAGAGAGACTCCATCAAAGAAATGGAAATTACTATCCTCATTATTTGGTTTCCTGCGTGCTGATCTGCCTCAAACAATAGTAATACCTAATACCTTGTTACCACCTCATTCACTTGTCAGGACAAGTGCCATCCATTGATTATCCTGTCACTCCAGTAGTGATATCATTTTTCATCTGAAGGATAGCTAGTAGCTCTGCTTTTCTGCATTCCCCTCACCATACCACTGGTGCCCACCAGTGGCCCATATTATAACTTTTTAATTTATCTTATACAACTCAGTGGAAACCACTGAGAGCCAAATCCTCTGCAGTCCTGTTTTGGTTTGTGTTTCTTAGTGCTAGTTCCTAGCACTAATAATAGTATTTGCATTATAAGTTGCAAAAACTTGACTTCTCACACTGTCAGGTGATAGTATCCATTTTCTGTATGTACATCTCACTGTGCTCCATCTTTACTAGTGCCATACATCTCACTCTTCCATCTTTAAGGGATGTGGTTTTGATATGAGTGATGACATCGGGCATCTGAGCCTGTCACAGCTCAGAGCACATTCACTATACCTTTTGCAGTTAAGTCCAATATTTTACTGGTCCAATATGGTACACACCAATCGTTATTGTGTGTACCATATAATGCTGAACTATAATATTTACTAGAAATTAAGTATGGGGCCTTTCCCAGTTACCATCATTTTAGCAAGATGACTCATGGTGGTGACTGGAAAAGACATGTAAAAAAGCATTATGGGGTATATTGTCATACCTCTATAATGTTACAATCCTTTTTCTTTAAAGTAGCAATATGGAGAAGCCCTGCATCATTTAAAGAAATATATATTGCATTATATTATGGCCTTTAATGCTGTAACACTTTTCATTTAATTGATATTTTGCTATTACTTTTACACTAAATGATTATTGAGCTTTATTTTCACCTTTTGGGAACTTTATTATAAAAGATTCCTGTTTTACAACAACTGACAGTGAGCCTGATCATCTTTTACTGTTTCATGAAAAACCAACTCTGTATAGCAGGTTCGCAGGGTGGGTTATCATGAAAAGGGAGCATGCCCATTTACAATGATCTTTATCTTTTGTCAGAGTGTAATCATATAGCATGACAATGCAGATCTATAACAATTTTGTTCAGAATTGGATTGTATATATTGATTACAAAGCACAGACTTCTGATAAATTGTCTTTTGATACATTATAAAGTGTATTTGTAAATTAATTTCCAACTTTTATCATTTGTTTTAATAGGTAAGAAAATAACCTTCATTTTTGAAAGAACACTGTCAGTGGAAACTTACAGCTAATGCCTGTTTCTCTTCTCCAAAGGTGAAGCCCCTTCTACTATCCAGCTGCCAGCTCCTTCTGCTCAGCATCCAGGCCCTATTACGCTGTTCCAGTCAAGTGTAGGAAGCACAGCACCACTGGCTGCCCCTACCGCAAACCTGCCAATTCGCCCCGTGCTTCAGCCTCAGCGCTTTGCTGCACCTTCACCTGCAGAAGCTCACCATGTATCTTCAGGAACAAATTGCTCTGTAAAGAGACCTGCACAGATTTCGATTGAGAACACCAGCAGGAACGCAAATAATACAAGCACCACACATCCCAGATACAGTGTTTCAAATAGCCAAGCCCCTAAGGAGTACTCAGGTGTTTCTTCTTGTTCTAGAAATGGACCTATTCCGCAGGCGCCCCCCATTCCCCACCCACATGTCTACCAGCCTCCTCCCATCGGTCATCCAGCCACTCTGTTTGGAGCACCTCCTCGATTTTCATTTCATCATCCTTACTTTTTACCTGGACCCCATTATTTCCCATCAAGGTAATGTGATCATTTACTTGCTTTCTGAAATGAGTGCACATATGCTACCAGGCAACTTACAAAGTCTTGTACAAGAGAAAGAGCGACAGGTTTTAGTGTGAATTTACATATATGTTCTTCACTCCTGTCTCCCTTTCTCCTGTTTCCTTTCATACTAAGCCTGTTTATTTCATTCTGAAACAATTTTCATCAAAAATTTTAGTGTCCCAAAGGGATTCTTTTCCATGCTTATGCTTTTACATCCATCTGCCACCTTGACACCGTTGTTATACTTTTCTCCTAAGCTCACTTCTCTCCTTGTAGAAAGAAAACCTGTCTTTCTGGTTCTGTTGTCTCTGGCCATTTCGTTGAGCTTTTCTGCACAAGGCCGTTAATCCACTGTATCTACTTTTGGCTTCATCACAGAATTGATATCTAAACACTGTGTAAACAGCATTTCCTTTCCTGCTTTTCAGTTATGTAACTTCTAGGTGGCACTGTAGTATACCAGAATTATACAATGGAAAAATGTTTTCTTTGGCTTTTAAAAGCAATACTGCATTTTCCCCCTTCTAAAAAACAGAAAGAAAACTGGAGGGCCTTGATATTGTTTTAACAATTTGTAAACCGCTGTGGATAGGAAATGATGAGCACCCAATCAATGCGTGTGTAGAAAAGCTCTTTGTTTCATTGGGTGACTATTCTTTCTCTTTTTCCTGCTGCCTGCAAGGGAGCCATTGAAGTTTGTAGTGTGTGAGCAACATGGAAAGTAACTTACTCATGTGAAAATTCAGAAAGGGGACAATGAGTACCCTCATCTTGGGGAAGGATACGTAAGCTATCCATTTAGACAACTGCAGTGCAGTCTGTATGGGAGTACTATTCAAGATCATTCAGCTGGTCCCAAATGATCCTACATGGTTATTAACTGGGTCAGGAAACACATTACACTTGTCTAAACAGAGCTGTATTGATTGCTGGTTACCAATCAGTACAGCTGCTGTTCAGGTTACGGGCATTTACTTTTTTCAGCCTTAAATGGTCTGCTCCCAATGAATAATAATTGCTTATTTATTCATTCAATTTATGTCCTGCCTTTTGGCATGAATACCCTCAGGGTAACTTAACACTCAGTAAAGTACAATAAAATGTAACCACCCCAAAAAATAGGAACCTAGTTTTTGCAGCTAATAATCTCATTGAGGATATAGCATAGGCACAGAGTCAGTTTATTAATTAAATGTTGTTGTTTAGATGCAAAGTCATGCCTGACTCCTCGCGAGCCCATGGACAACATTCCTCCAGGCTCTCCTGTCCTCCACCATCCCTCAGAGTCCACCCAACCTCACACCCACCACTGCAGTGACCCCATCCAGCCACCTCAACCTCTGCCATCACCTTTTCCTTTTGCCTTCAAGCATTCCCAGCATTAGGGTCTTCTCCAATGAGTCCTTCTCATTAGATAGCCAAATCTCCAGTATCTGCCCTTCTAAACAACAGGCAGGGTTGATTTCATTAATTGAATAGGTTTTCTTTAAAAGGTAAGTTGACACTTGGTGACTGCGTAACTCTGCTGCTGTGGGCAGGATCAGCTGGCCTTCTGGACTGAGGTGGGAGACCTCAACCCTGGGGTCACAATCTGGCCCTCCAGGGTTCATGGGATGATCATCCCTTCTTCTTGTGCCATCCCCTTTCACCACACAAAGGATTGTTTGAGGGTTTTCTGATGTTCGTGTACTTTTCCCCCACTCTAAAGGGCTGAAATGCCTTCCTTAAGGCTTAGGTGCTCACTGAAGAGCTTTAGCTGGTGGTTTTGGTCCTGCCCAATTTTCCTTGTGTGCTTCTCACCACTGGAATGCAACCCCCTGAGGGCCTCTCCAGAACTGAGCTTGTCTCTTGGCTGAAAGAGCCAAGGGTTGTTCCAGGGTCTTCTATTTTTCATTATCGCATGGATATACATTTCAGCTTTGTGACACACTCCCATATTTGGGTGACCTATTTGTGGTGGTGTCTCCTGCCTAAAGTAATCCTGTCTTAGGGTAACTGGTTTCCAGACTTTAATAATATACCAGGGTTAACATGTACTTTCTTATTTATGCCGTGGCAAAATATCTTTGTCCCACTGCAGCACGTGTCCGTACAGTCGTCCTCCATTTGGCTATGGAAATTTTCCCAGCTCCGTGCCCGAATGCCTTGGCTTTTATGAAGACCAGTATCAAAAGCACGAGGCAATGTTTTCTGCTCTGAACAGAGACTATCCTTTTAGAGAGTACCCTGATGAGCACACACATAGCGAAGACTCCCATAGCTGCGAGAGCTTGGAAGGGACATCCTACTACAGCAGCCACAGTCAGACTGAAGAGGAATACTTAAACCCTATGCCACAGCTGGACATTGGGGCCCTTGAGAATGTTTTTACAGCAACCCCATCCACACCCTCTAGTGTACAGCAAGTCAATGTGACTGATAGTGATGATGAGGAAGAAGGAAAGGTGTTGAGAGATTTGTAATTTTTAAAACCAAATGATAGTATCTGACATACTTTTTTAAAAAATGTGAAATAAAACATGTTGGTCATATAACACCATTTAGTGAGTGTGGTCAAGATGACATAACTCTAAATTGTTTTGAAACTTTTATGACACTCAGGAGATTTTCCGTGGCAGAGTCTCATCACAAGAGTGGTATCTTACCTGTTTGCAGACACTGTCCTGGTTGGGGCGGCTCTGAAAACTGAGCTTTGTGACTTGTGTTTGTTCCCTGCCCTTCAGTCAAATGCTAGCGGGTGGCACTTGCAGAGCCTTAGTAATGGATGCACCTTACTGATATGGCGCTGAGCTGAGCTGCCCACCTGCACTGTGCACTCCATTTTGCAACAGAACACAGAAGAGGCATGGCAATTCACAAGGCTGAGGCAGTGCTATACATGACAGATTTTGGTATATATTGAACTGCCCACCAGCTGTTTTGAAACATGACTGCGCTGTATAGTTAGAAGTGGCAACAAGATAACATCAGTTTTGTGTGGAGGACTTGGCTTTTTTTAACTCAGGGTGTTTGCTATTTGTGTTCCTATATGACATGGTGCGATTTTAATTCTGAGCTGAATATTTACTAAGTGAAAATATTCTGTTTACACATTTCCCCTGTGTACCCAGAACACATATATTCTGTTCCACTGCAGAAAAGAGAATGTTTACAAGATTTTAAATGTTGGCTTTTGGTCAACATTGGAAAAACAAAATTTTAAAAAACAACTAAGTACTCTTGTCTCAGAATTCAGTCTATATGCTGAATATTGTTACATAATGATCTGAAAGTCTTACAGTTTTCCTCTGCAAGAGGATTTAATATTTTTACAACCTATATAAATGGGTTGATTAAATGTTTCTAAAGATATGTAAGGGGGAATCTAGCTGAGTTTTGTATACAATGTGCTATGATTCTATACCAGATAATTAACCAGCATCTCAAACATAATTTTTAAGATGTAGCCTTTTAAAAATATAAGTAACAAAAGATGAAATGTTGCTAAATTATTTGTTCATGTTATAAAAATTTTAATTTTATATCCATATTCTTTGTTTTTGAGGGGTAGGATTTGGCAGTACATTTGTTCCATTTTTGTTACATTAAAATAAAATCACATGAACTGTTCGTTGTTAGCTCTATATGTTGTTATAAATCATCCTGTTTGAATCCACATAATACGTGTAAATGTGGCAATTTTTAATGTCCTTTTGGAGACATTTACTACAAAGAAAGAAGTTTGGCTATTTCAAAGGTTATACAAGGCCATCATACATGTATACAGTGTTCTGTATATTTCTAAAATCTCTTTTCCAAGAACCAGGAGTATAGATAGTGTATAACATTTTATAATGTATAAGAAAGGATAACCGCATGATGTACCACTTCCTAGAGCAACCCCAGAAATGAGCCCAAACGCTTGTTTCCAGAATAAGCAGATAAATTAAGTGCCTTTATGTAAGCTCTGATGAACTGTTGTTTTCTAGAAATTCGTATTTTGACATTTTTCCTGTTGCTTTAGGATCAGCCTACTCCCCAGTGCACCAGTAGTGCATCTCTCTGGCCACAGGCAACACTGAATACTGCCTTCAGACTTTGCTGGTAATTTTCACTAGCAATCAGTAAGAAGTTGTATCTCAGCGTCAACACCGTATGTGTCTTTTCAGTAAACTTATGGTATATGCTAGACAAGTTACATCAGGCAAAGTGTTTAACAGACATTGTTCCAAATCCAGAACATAGTTTAGGTTGTGTAGGCCAGGTGTTCTTTATTTAAGACTGCAGCCACCAGACCCTCTACTTCTATTGTGCTTGCTATGTCAATAGTGCTTTAAAGGGAAGGTTGTATTAATAGCCAAAAGCATGCTTTAGCTCCTAAACAGGCTGCTGGTTGAAAGCTGATCTACAAGAATTCTTTTGGGCAAATGTGCTATTTCCCACATAACGATGTCTTTAAAGTATAAAACAGCTGTTGAATTGTTCCCTTCATCTGACTTTTTCCATCTCTCCTGCCCCACTTCCTTTTTGCAAACTGCTGCATTGGTTAGCAGGAAACATACATTGGTAGACTGCCATTTTATTAAACACAGACTAGTGGTTCAGATATAATGCCAGACTATACTTTGGTGCTATATGAGTAAGTCCTGGCTGGACCCTTGGGCTCACATGCTCCCCTTTTCTTCTCCCCTTGCATGTGTCAATTCCTTCTTTTCCTTGTTTGAGGCAAACAAATGCTTGTTGTTTCACCTGAACCTGCAAACTATGATCAGTCTTGTTTCCAACACTGGCTTGCAAGACAATTGCAAATTATAGTGTTATAATCAGACAACAGCTTGCCACTAACCAGAAAGGACTGAAGGAATAATGGGCAAGGTGGTACTGGGAGAGGAAGAAGATGAGATGTGTGAACCCAAGACTGTGTCACTGTAGCTTGACAGTATTGTTACATGCTGTCAAGTTGTCTCCAACTTAGGGAAATCCATGAATGAATGTCCTCCAGATATCATGCATGTGACAGCCCTGCTCAGCCCTCATAAACTCAAGGCTGTTGCATCCTTTATGAGCTGATGCATTTCATATTTGGCCTTTCCCTTCCTTTGCCTTCAACTTTCCCTAGCTTCACTGCCTTCTCCAGTGAGTCTTGCCTTCTCATGATGTTCCTGAAATGCAACAGCCTCAGTTTCTTCATTTTTGCTTCCCAGGAAAGTTCTGGTTTACTTTGATATAGGACCTACATATTTGTCTTTCTGTCAGTCAAGCTATTTGAAAAGCTGTTCTCCAGCAACATGCTTTGAAAATATTTTCCTCCTGCTATCATTCTTCGCTGTCCATCTTTCACACCCATAGTGACTGGCAATACAATAGTGTGGTTGATCTTGGTCTTGGTCTCCAGTGAAACCTCCTTTCACTTTTAATGCTCTTTTCCAGTTCCTTAACTGCTGCTCTACCAAATCTCAGTGGTTTTCAGATTTCTCGGCTGCAGTCTCCATCTGAGTTGATGATTGAGCCACGGTATGCTAAATCTTTCACAATTTAAAATTCTTCATTGTTGACATTCAAATTGTGTAATTCTTCTGCAGTCATGCTTTTTGTTTTCTTATTGTTCAGCCGCAGTCCTGCTTTTGCACTTTCTTCTTTCACTCTCATCAGGAGTCTTCAGCTCATTGCTGCTTTCTGCCAGTAAAACGGTATCATCTGAATATCTTTCCTGTTGTATCTTTCAACAATTTTACTCCTCTTTTCTCTGGTCCTAATCTACTTTTTCTTGTGTTCTATATACAGAATGAACAGATAAGGAGATAAAATACAGCTTGTCTAATACCTTTGCCTATAGGAAACCATTCTGTTTCTCCATATTTTTTCCTAACAGTAGCATCTTGTCCATGATACAGGCTATTATTTATTTATTTACACACACACACACACACACACACACACACACACACACACATTTATAGGCCACCTATAACTGCTGAGGCCTTCCAAGGTTATGCATCAGGACAATTACATGCTAAGAAAGACCCATTTCTTTCAAGATCATACATAGCTTCTTGTGATCCGCATAGCCAAAGGCTATGTCTATATAGCACAGACTGATCTTCTGAAATTCTTTGGTGTGCTCCAGTACGAATGTATATTTGTAAAATGCTCTCAAGTGACTTTTCCTTTTTGGAATCCAGCTTGGCAGCATGTCTGAATTATAATTAACAAAGGGTCATTTTTGAAAGCTTGCCTTGCTCTAGCTTGGCATTAGATAACTGATGAGATCAGTTCCTCCTCCTCTTCAGTTTCATGAGCTATATTCTTCTAGCACTTCCTCTTAAAGAATAGTTTTTCTTTTGTTTCTTAATGTTCTCATCAGGTCCTAGCAAGATAAGAGTCTCCATATTCACTGAAAAGACTTGCATTGCAGCAACAGACTACCCTTCTGAATTTGTCATCTCAGGAGAAGTCTCTAAGGATCTTATTTTTCCCATTGTTCCAGCACTGAACATAAATGGTGCAAAACATAACTGTCTCTCACTGAAAGGGAAATAGTGCTGAAAATTCTAGGGTCTTTCCTGGCGGATGGAATCATTCACATAGGCCTTAACTCCTTTATTTGCCCCATGGTAATAACAAATCTAACCAAACTTTTTCAAGTGTTCAAGAACACTCATTTCTGGTTGTATGTAGCAGTCATCTCTCAAAAATCAGCTCCCCCTTTCCATTAGAATTTAAGGAGTGAATTATTTCAGCTGCTAGACAATAATAGGAGCTCATAATGGGTCAGAGCCCTCCAGAACTTAGTGTCAGACCCTCTTTTGAATGCTGTGGTTCCATCATGGAAGCATGAACTGGAAGAGCAATTAAGTAAGCTGCCTTGAGACCTTTGGGTAGTGGGTGACATAAATGGCATGATTAAAAAAGTGTGCTGGAGAGGGGAACAATCTCTTTGGAGGAGCAACTGCAACATTCAAAGCCCTGCTAAGCAAGCTTTTAAAATTTCCCCTTTGATTGGTACCAATGAGCCGGAAATTACTGGTGCCTTTTGTGTTCCTTCTGAGGAGCATATGAGGAGAATGAGAAGTCTTGGATGCCGTCGATCCCCATGATACACCCAGAATGCCCCAGTCTGGCCCCACCAGTGGCAGAACGCCACCGGTGGCACATTCACACCTGCAGTGCTTTCCAGGCTGTGCTGGGGGAGGGAATCCTAGTGGTATTATCTGCTGGTTCAATGGCAGGCACCCCTTTCCACCAGCAGAGCATCATTTAGCAATTTCTTTGTCCCTTCAGCCAACTGAAGGACTAAACCCTAGCAAAACCCTGAAGGACTAAACCCTAGCAAACCCTAAACCCTAGTATTTCTGAAGGCATAACATCATGACTTTTCCCTTTCTTGCGCTTCAGTTGTGGTGCATGCCATCATGTCTGCAGTCATTACAGAGAAACACAGAAACAGCATGTCAGAAGGGGTCTCCCAGGCCATCTAGTCTGA